CAACACTGATACAGTGGTTGCCTGGATGCTCATCCCAGGTCTAGGTAACACTGATTTAAAATGTATCTCATCAGGAGAAAGCTTCATCTCAGTAAACCTACGAACAAGCATGTCATATGTGATTATACTTCTGCTCCCAACATTCTTCAATGAACTTGGACATGTGTCATACTGCACGGAAAACAGTCCTGTTTTTAAAATGTCCTCTGTTCTTAAAGGCTATGCAATTCAAATTAGGTTAAGGATAAAGAACAGCAAAAGAGTGAGCAACAGAATTTGCCCAGAGTAATTACAGCAACTTTGTGGTTTCTGTTTTAAAGAACAAGAACACTATTTACAGGGAGTGTAAGGGCATTTTAAAGACGCCCACCCATTGGGATGTGATCAGCATACATTGGTGTTAAACAGGCAGAAAACCCAGTAAATTCTTGTAGCAGATGTTCAGTGTTTACTCTGCAAAATCAGCAGGAGCCATCATAAAATTAATTGCCAGTTAGTTTAATCCTGATTAATATTATTAGACAATAAAATCTCATCTGAGTTTTGAAAGTTCATAGCAGAGAGAGTGTGCCACAATAGATTCAGGCTGCAGTCCTATTTTCTTGCCACACAGAAAGTAAATCTACATTTTATGGGAATTATTTCTAAAAAGGCATATAAAACTGCATATATATTTGGTAAATATGTAGAAAGTTATGTAATGTATAGAAACATATAGTAAAGTTGTTGCATTGAAATAATGGGTACTAGGAAAGTTGAGGCATTTGAGATACATTCAAATTACATATATTAGGGAATGTTCCTTGTGAAAATTAATGTGGTTTTTCTTGCGTTTTGCTTTTCTTAAAGTGATTTGCAGGAAAAAATAGATGGTATGGAATAATAAAAAAAATACTGTACAATGAAGATTGACTGATAAACTGATCTTCACTTCCTAACTTCTGAAAAGTCATGTATATGATTAAACATTAAATGCAACATAAGGCCAAACTAGAAATGATATTAAATGCATCACCTGCTATTGACTTTTTCATACTTAATTTGATAATATGAGTAACAAGCAAGGTGAGGATGGAACTTTCATCAGAACTGTGATATAGAAAGAGAATGAGTATAGCTCTGTCCTTCTGCATCATATATCTGCCAAAATTATTCCCCTTCTTCCTGGATATAATCAGCCTTGAGAGAAAAGCTTGTATTGATCTGAACTGAGAGAAACAGGAGGGGTGATTTTCATCAGTAGCATGGCAGAGGAAGAAAATGGCCCCTTTTTTTCAATCAGTATTTTCTGACTGAAAGATTGGTGATTAGAAGTTACAAAATTGAAGGAGCCAGAACAAACAATCCATTTAGTTCATCTCTACTGGCCAACATTTAGGAAGTTTTGTATAGCATCAGCAAACCATTGCCATACTCCTCAGAGCTGGCCTTCAGAATGGTCCCACATTCCATATCTGCTGTAGAACTTTTTCAGTCACATGTTAGCTACTAAGATAGCCCCCAACACAGGAAGAAATCTTTGAGAGCTGTTCAGTGCTCAGATAGGTAGTCAGAACTTGGAATGTTTAGATATGCAAACAGGAAATTGAGACAGAAGATTGAACAAAAGGCTGGTGACATGAAGGCTGACCTTCATGGTTTATTTAAAGGTTCTTTTCCTTACCTCTGATTCAAGGGGAAAGAGACTTTATCTCTCCTTGGGAAATGCCACAAACTGCAGCAATACATCACATGATCTATGACTTTTCAATTTAAAGTCCTTCATGTATTATCTCAGATCACATTATGACAGGGCTTGGCAACCTTTTCAGATCAGTAGTGGTTATGCCAAAAATGATTGCTGAAATCTCACTAACCCTTCTCTGAGTTCTTATCTGTTCTTGGGCAAGAATGCAAACACCTTATAATTTTCACCTACAATCTCTGTGAGAGCCTCAAAATCTTAAGAAAATTCAACCAACGTTGAAATGAAATGAAATTAAATTAAATTAAATTAAATTAAATTAAATTAAATTAAAAACTTTTACAATTTAATTTAGAGAGTTTTATAGATGGTGCTTTGGAGATCCACCTCCCTTATAACAACTTCCTAAGATAAGCCACATTACAGAGGCAGAACTGAGAGAATTAGTGAGGATATAAAACATGATGTTATTAAAGTACATCATCTATCACCAGTGGCATCCATGGGGGGTTCACAAAGGTTTACTTGTTTATAAATGATATTAATGAATG